CTTTGTAATATTTTGTTTGACAAAATGGGAAGTACTCATCAGGCCCTGAGCATACCTGGGTGTAACGGTTTTCTCCAGGAAAAGCACTGTGTGGCTGTGTGAGTTGCTTAACTAGTTGCTTTTTCACTTGAACACCATTTTTACCTTCTGAAAGACTGACTAACAGATAAACTATGGTTTTTCAGACTTGAGTACCTGGGAGACATTTTCTTGAAAAGAAATAAAGGAAGCCTACCACTTCAAGGAAAACAACTGGCAGCATTTGTTGCCAATGATAAAAGCCGAGCTTTCAAGCCCCAGGTCCATCACTTACTAGCAAATTATTTAACTCTCTAAAGTCTTACTTGAAAAGTCAGGATGGTGATAATACTTATGCCAGAGGGATACAAGCATTAAATAAAATAACATTATAAAACGTTTTATACACAGGCTGGTGTGTGTTAAGTGTTCGATAAATGTTTGCTTCTATTATAGCTATGTCAAATTAAAACAGATTTTTCATTTTTAATTTAACCAAATATGTAAGTCAATTCCACAAAAAATGTTCAACCTGAGTCCCAAGTAGATACTCTCTAAAAATTAAATTAATTCATAGTTCTTCAATAATAGGCAACAATGAAATGACGATAGGGCTCTAGCAAAATAATGGCAGGCATGGAAATATTGAGTTTTATGCAAAAATTCTCATTTCTTCAGTTTTCCTCCAGGAAATAAATAGGCCTAGTTGTGCAGTGGTTAAAAATGCACGGAATCAGGGGCTGGCCCAGTGGCGAAGTGGTTGGGCTTGGCGCCCTCTGCTTCAGAGGCCTGGGCTCTCCGGTTCAGATCCCAGGCGTGGATCTATGCTACTTGTCAAGCCGTGCTGTGGTGGTGACCCACAAACAAAACAGAGGAAGACTGGCACAGATGTTAGCTCAGGCCCAATCTTCCTTACCAAAAAAAAAAAAAAAAAACAACCCACACAGAATAACACAAAACATTGTCAAAGTGCCTCCCAAAGCTTATTACTTAAAAGCAGCTTTTCAGCACGAAGGCCAAGATACACAAGGCCATCTGCGTCCCCGACAGGCTGAAAGTTATGGCCACTGACAGGTATCTTCATCATTAGGCCATTAGCATCACACCTCATCTGTAAAGTTGGACGATTTTCCAAACTGAAGCACTTCTACAAGGCTTCAGACAGGGATTAATGCGAATTCAGGTTATGTCACATTGTGGGCCTAGGCAGGCTATGAAAAGCAGAAAAGGGAAAAAGAAGCCAAAACGGGTTGGATAATAGCAAGATAATGATCAAGAGATTTAAAAAAAGGAAAAAGGAAAGAAATGTATCAGAAAAGGTTGTGAGAAACTGTAGGAGCCTGTTAGCGGGATATAATGAGGCTCTTTAAAGGATATTTTTACATTTTCCAAATAATTTTCCGTTTTCAGCAATGATTGAGTCCCAGTCTTGTACATCAGCACCGTTCTTATACCCTGTGTGTGAACAACCAAAGTCCACAGAACCTTTTTCAATCCTTTGATCACCAGGCCTCTCCTGTGAGACCCTCACCTGTCCTTTGGAAGGCGTTTCTCTATAAACAGCGACTGGGCTGCTTTCTTCATGAACAAAGAGGGAGTGTTCACACAACATTCAAAGGGCCATCTAGGTCCATCCTTGTCACCTTTCCCTTTGGTCCAGCCAGTACACTTCCCTGAATGTTTTCTCCACTCAGATGGCGGTCAGTGCTATTACCTGCCTCCACTTATAAATGTTTTGCAAATGAGCAAGAAAAAGCACCAGCTTAGGGGGGCAAAGTCGGTGTCGCTTGTTCCCAGTGAGAGGGCAGCAGCTACGTGGAGTAAGGAGCATCTGATTAGGCTCATAATTAACCTGAAAACTGTCCTGCCGGGCACAGCTACAGCAGCAGCAACCCGCCTGCCGGTTCCAGTCCACGAATTTCGATTGCTATTTCGGTTGTTATGGAAATTGACCACACTGCTTCCTAAAGAATTCATTATTCCAACAAATATTTGTTGTTCGAGTCATTTTGGTGTGTCTAAATGAGAGATGCAGACACAAGGATGGAGGAGCACTGAGGAGGAAGGCTGGTGATTAGAGAAGACTTCACAGGGAGCTAGAACTTAAACCAGACCTTGGGGCATGATTAGCTAGGGGAGAAGACATTTCAAGTGAAGGACTGGCAAAAGCGAGGAAGGTTCAAGGGATAATAATAATGCAGAGGCAGAGCTGGAGCTGAAGACTCACGTCGGGGGAGAGTGGGAAATGGGGAAAACACGTTGAGGCCAGTGGGGAGGGGGCTTTGAAGGCCAGTCTAAGGAGCTTGGACCTTTCTGTGGACAAAAGGGAACTAACGGGTACTTTGAGACGGGGAAGAGTGCTTTAGGGACATTAATTTTATTTTAAGACTAACAGAGAGGATGTCAGCCTCGCCTCTGCTAACACTACAGCTCCACTGTGGGTCTGGTAGATGCCAAGACAATGACTTGAAAACGGAAAAATTCAGTTATCTTCTCATACAGACAAAACCACACTCGTTTCACTGAAATCAACTGACTCTTGCTTGCTAAAACTTATCAAAACTGCTATGGGCGTGTCTATGACATCCTGAGTATTTCTAAAGCTCAATTGACCTGCAATAACACAGCCCCCAAATACCATCCTGCCATCTGTCAAAGAAGTATTTAGAACTAAGGCATTAATTTTCAAGCAGAGTCCAGTAAAAACTCTAGAAGAAGAACAGTTATTTTTCCTCATATCACAGTGGATTTGTACCTTCTACTGCCCCACAGTAAGCTGACATCATTTTTACTAGAATAGTGATTGACCAATAAGTTGAAATACAGGAGAGTATGGTTGGATATAAGAAAAACCTGTTGCTCAGAGCAGCAGTTCTCAGAGTGCGGTCTGTGGACCCTCAGGGATCTCAAGCTTTGTCTGAGGCCAAAGATTTTATATTGTGTATTTGACTGTCTGAAGGGCACAGGACTTAAGAACCGGTGAGCCAAAGTTGTTAGTTACGCCTAGACGGACAGAAGTGATATTTGAAAATACATTTCAAAATTCAACTGTGAGTGCTAAACAACGGGTAAATCTGAAATAATATTCTTGCTAGAGAAGTAACAACAACCACAAAACAAGCTGTACTACTTTGAGAAGCTTTTTGGGACCACAATACTAAGAACACAGATTTCTATGTGACAATAAAGGCTCATTCTTTGGATTCCTGAACATCAAGTTTCAAGAGTCTCTCCCCTTCCTAATTTGGCCCCTAAGATATAAACTGAACAGAAAGTATAACAGATTGTATATGGCCTTGGTGCCAAGAAAACTGATTAAAGTTTATGTGGAAAGGGGAATTTTCTTTGAAATTATGATGATGAGTTTCTCTTCAGTAAGGAGTAGAAATACCATACTTTTACTTTCTGGAAAGAATGTAAAATAGGCATGGCGAGAGTCCATCCAGTTCCCACGGCGAAGGTCAACTAGAGGCGTGCAGGTCAGAAACAGAACTCAGGTTGGGCTCAAAAATTCTCACGGCTTAAGACACGCTGTTCTCTTGGGCTGGAATTCTTCCTCCTCTCATGTCTCATTAATCCCTTCAGTCACCACCGTCTCTTTCTTCAGTTCCCTGCTTAAATGTCACTTCTACAGGAAAGTCTTCCCTGATCACCTCGTCTAAAGTAATCACCCACTTCTACCCCAAACACTTACCCAGGTTGTTCTCTGTTTCAGCTCCTTTTTGTGATAATAATTTGATTAGTTCTTCTTTTCATCTAAGATGGAAGCTCTGTGATCCTTGTTCACTGCCCAGCATGGGTCCAATACTCAGTATGTATTTGGGGGATGATTGAATGTGGGAGACAGTCCAGGGTAATGACTCACATGACTGAGTGGTGGAGTGGGGAGGGCCCTGGAATGGGGAACTACAGCTCTGGTTTCCTCACTGCCACCAGTTGGTTGAATGACCTTGATCAAACTCCTTAAATTCTCTGGGACTCAGTTTCCTCATTTGACAATGAGGGAGACTTATTGAGAGATTTCCAAGGAAGCAGCCTGCCTTTAGGGTACAAGATTCTAAGTTTACTCAATTATATTTCTAGGGTGCTGCTAACCATTCTTTTTTCCCACTCATTGAGGAGGTGTGGACCTTTTCATTATTTCTGAAGATAAATGGATATTTTCTGAAAAATGCAAAGGCAGGTGTATTGACTTTTTTATAGACTTGAATAATTAGAGGGAAAAGGACTAAGTTTCAGGAGGTGCTCTGACAACGTTTTGTGCTATTCTGTGCCATTTTAACTGTTGTACAACTAGTCCCATTGATTTCCATGAGGAAAACTGGAAATCTGGCTCTCACGCTCATTAGCTCTGTGACCTTGGACAAGTTCCTCAACATTTCTGAGTCTTAGTTTTCTTGTTTGTGTCATAGATATGTAATAGGGATAGACTACCAACCTACAGGATTGTGGAAGGATTAAATGAGATATCCTGGAACAGAGAAGACACTCAGAAAATGCTGGTGAACCCCAAATGAATTTTATGCCACAATTAATTTACCAATGAGTTTCATAGTGCTAGGACATAGGACAAGTGGATTGTTTCTACTGTTAGCTGTATGGAATGCAGGGGATGGTTACCGAGGTATATTTGAATATGTGGTCACTGATGTATTTAGCGAGGAGAAGGTCATTGTTCAAACAGAAAAGATTTTGACATACAGCATCCTCCTACCCACGGGATTACAATGTATTTTATTATCATAGAGCTAAACTCAGGAGTTTGATATTCCTTAGAGATCCTACTTTGTCTATGCTGAAAAGATGCAAAGCCAAGAGCAATATAAAACTGTATAAATGAAAGCAACAATCCGGAAGCCTCAGGGGTGTTAACCAAAAAAAGAGGTAAGACTTCAAAACAGGATGAGAAATGAATAGTTTTTTTCCCTACCAAGTTGTTATTATCAGCAACTGCATTAGAAAATTTGAGGGCTGTTACTCACCAATCAGGAAAATAATTTTACACTTCCTCAAATCTTCCATGAAACCTTTAAAGTAAGAATAATTTAAGTTATTGGCAAGAAATACTGTATTGAAACTGTGGTATTACTCGCGCTATGTAAAAATCAAAATCCTGTAGTTTTATTTGATAAGAAGCTTGGAGTTGAGTAAATAGGTCATAATTAATAGGCACTGATGACCATTTCAGCCTAATCCCAGACCCAGGTAATACATTTTCATTTTAACACAGAGTACAGACTTTAGGTGGTAAAACTGATAAACCATTAAATAGCACGAATCACAAAGATAATTTTTAAAATTATTTAAAATTTTCCTAAGTGTCTCAGTTTTGTATTTCACATTTTTTAACATTTGCTAATCTCTCTTCTAATAAAGGGTTAAAACACAAGTAGGGAGTCTGGAAGACAATATTTTAAAAATAATTCCTATTTACAGAAAATAATGCTACTTTCCATTTTAGGTAGTGATAGAAAGTTTCCTTTTAAAATAAATGTATTTAAATGCGAGGCAATTTAGAGAAAAATATTAAATAATATATAGTACAGGCAGTATAGCGATGAAGCAAAAATCGCTAAGGTGGTGAGGGAAGACTGAGTTTTGGGGACCACTACTTAAAGGCAAAGGATTGATTAGAAATTTTTGGCAAAGCGAGAAACCCTCCAGACTTTGCGGCATCCTAACAGATTTCCAGTGATCACGTGGTATAGTGGGTAGCCATGACGGATGGGTAGACAATAGCTACATTTTTGATCCTATTGTCAACTGATTTGACGTCAGCAAGTGATTTCCTCTCCTTGGACCACAGTTTTACCATCTGCAAAATAAAGCTTTTGGACCCAATGATCTCTAATGTCTCTTTTGGTTCAAATACCTATGATTCTGTGGTTCCCATAAATAAATGGGCCACACGAGGAAGTGGCTCCCTTTGTCCCTTGGCTAAAATTATGATGCTACTATTGTTGTATGTTTAAGATATCTTCCTAAAGTAAACCAAAATTCTAAGAGGCCTTGAGTGAGAGTGAGGTCACCTGAAGAGTTGACCAAGCTAAAAACTGGAATTGGGAATGGCTCTGTGAGCTCAGGGTCTCTGGGCTCAGAAAACGCCAATGGTTACTGCTTGAGTCTGGAAGCAGGGGGTCCTCAAACTAAGAAAAAAAATTTAGAGTGAGAACTTGAAGACAGAGGAAATAGCAGTCCTACCCAAGATTGTTTCAAAGAGGAGCAGATACAAGTAACTCACCCTTGCTTTATGGCCATAGGGTTTTATTTATGAAGGTTAGATTTTACATGTGCTCAGGAGTTGAAGCCGCTACCACAAATGAGAGTTAGCAGGCTGCCTACTCAACTGTGCCGGGGCAGGGTCAGGCTTCTGTCCTGGAAGCAGGGTTTTTGGGCAGGCCAAGAGTCCAGCTGTAGGCTAGTTCAGGATGCTGTGAAATTCAGAGTGGGAATCTGTAGAAGCCACTTCAGGAGGTACTGCTCCAGCCTAGAGGCCATCCTGAGTCAATGAGGATGGTGTAAAGCCTAACAAGCAGGCCCTAGGAGGGTCAGAGAATCTTACCATGTTTGAATCCATCCTCGGACGGCTAATTTTTGAGCAGCTTAGTCTAACACCCACAGGGGTGTGAGGCTGATTCCACAAACAAGAACTTCTAGAAAGATTTCTTTGATGTGCTTAGGCAAAGGCCAGGCAAAGATTCTGAACCAGTGAGCTGGGTGAGTGTGGAGTGTTGTGGACTATGACTAACAAGAGTTATCATTCAACGTCATGTTTTTAGAGCACCGTGCTGGACAAACAAAAGCCCTCTGAGGCTGGATGCTCCCCTCAGCTGCACAGACGTGACTGCTGATAGAGTAACTGAAGATAATTTTGAATACTTCATTATTGTTGTTAACCCCTATGCTATACGGGAGATACTTTTCCAACTGTAAGATACACTGAATAGACAGTAATATATTACGATGTAGGATATTGTGATTTTTTACTTCATGAAAAATTTGGATGAAGTTTTAAAGTAAAAACACTAGAGTTCAAAGGCATTTGGTGTTTCTTGTTGGAATGCTGGGCCCCTGGGGTGTGCATTCCAGGTCCTGGGCAGCAGAGGTTCCTGGAGCAGCCCTCTCAGTGGGAGACCCTGGGAGCGAGGGGCAGCACTGGATGGAAGCACCCTGAGTCCTAGTCTAGGGCGAGCTTTGGGCTCTTTTCCTGGTTCTGGAAGTGGCTGCCTTTGTTCATCCCATGGGTGTGAGTTGAACAAAATGACAAGTGGAATGTGATTACCTGGAGAGGTAATAGAAGGTTTTTATTTCCCATTTTGGTAAAAAAACCTGTAATTTTTACACTTAAAATGAACATATAGGGGACCAGCCTGGTGGCATAGTGGTTGAGTTCATGTGCTCCACTTTGGCGGCCCGGGGTTTGCAGGTTCGGATCCTGGGCACAGACCTATGCACCATTTATCAGCCATGCTGTGGTAGGTGTCCCACATATAAAGTAGAGGAAGATGTTCATGGATGTTAGCCCAGGGCCAATCTTCACCCATAAAAAAAAGAGGAGGATTGGCAATGATGTTAGCCCAGGACTAATTTTCCTCACCAAAAAAAAAAAAATACTGATAGGACTCTGACTTATACTTCGTATTTCATATAGATGATAAGTACTTTTGAAAGTTAGGTCATTCTTCTGACAGTTATAAAACTTACTTTTTAGTGGAATTGAGGTGGTTCATTCCTAAACACAGTGCTACATTTTTGCAGGAATCCACTATTAGCTGGGGGAAAGGCGAAACTTGACCAGAGAGAGAGAGAAAACGGGACAAGAAGAATTGGGTTGGAGATACAAGGGGAAGGAGACAGGGGAGAAAGAGCTGGAAGCAGAGGAAAGAAGTGAATGTGGGGTCTTGGGAACCATTTGGTTTTCACACTGAAGCATGAACTTTTTGTTCTTTTTAATAAAGGGATGCTCCAGTTTCTTTACAGAGCAGCCCACGGTGGCTGGAAAAATTCTACGTTATCTGGAGCTTTCTCTTCAAGGCAGATACACTGTGTTCTTAACATGTGGGACTAGATACGTTCACCAAGACTTCCAGTCTACTTTTATGAAGTTGAGCAACTTTTAATCTATTTGCAATCTAGGAAAGTGGCTGTGGTTATTATTATTATTATTTGGTATGGTATCCCTATTCCAGTTCTAAAAAATAGTTATTTTAAATTAATAATGGTACATTCATACAGTGTAGTCATTACAAATTAAGGTTATAGAGAGTTTTTACTGACATGGGAACATGCATATGTTCTGATAACCACAAAAAAACCTGGAGATCATATTTGTAAATACACATGTATTCTCAACTATGTGTAAATAGGTATCTAGATAACACACTGGAATAAAATATACCAGAATGATAACCATGATTATTTAGAGGTCATAAGGTTTTAGATGGCTCTTATTTTCTACCTTAAAAAAATTTCCACAATGAATATGTTAATTTGATAACCAGGAAGAAAGAAAACTTTATTAGGCAATGAATCAATCCTTATCCATTTGGGACCAAGTTGATTATTTGCTCTTGGCTCTTGTTGATGTGCCTTTCTCCATGAATCACCATGATGTCATTTGATGACCGAGATTTCCACATACTGCTATTGCCATTGTCATCAAATGACACTTTATCTACCATCTCATGCTCAGGGATCAGTGCAGGATTAGAGCTGGGTTATTTAGAAAGCCAAATCACTCACTTGTATGTGCTCACAGACAATATCAACATGTTTCCATGGACCATAATTGTAACAACCTTTATTACATAGAGGAAATCTTAGAAGGTATTTTACCTAGGGCAGTCATAAACCTTATCTTTTTTGGACAATCTTAAATTCACATAATTTTATCTATTTTCAGTTCCGTGTGTAGCTAGTTACGGTTGGATTTTTAGTTTTTGCAAGACTTCTAACATGACAAAAATTATAAAGCAGTATAATTTGGATATTTCTTAGGTTGCATCCCAATGGCACACTGCAGAATAGTAATTACTATGCAGGAAAAAGACTTTTGTGTTTCAACAAATTTGAAGTTAGCCAGTTGTCTTTACTGCGGGACTTTGGGGAACCTTGCTGTGCAGTTATATATGTGATTCTTCCAAAGGGGATTGAGTGTTAAGTACTCCCCAAACATATTTTACCAGAGCATCGTCTCCTCACTGAGCAACTCCAGGGTCATCTTCTCTGGGCAGTGAGGAAACGCATCTCTTAGTAAGGTCTCCCTTTGGTTCTTTACGTGGGCCAAGACGGGAGACATCCAAAGAGTTCCCATCTTAACCACGTTCTCCGGCTAAGGGAAAGGTACATTCTGTTGGTAGTTTCTTGTCTCTTAGTTGGTGTTTAATTAAAAAAGACATGCTCAAAGCTATTAAAATGACAACTTTGGTCTGATCAGTAAAAGAAACTCACCTCCCATGGTGTCTTCTCCAAATACATTTAACTGGTCATCACCCTGTTTATAAAAAGTCAAAATATTAGATGATAATACCAACAGGCATTGTGCTAAACTTATTGCCAACATTAACATACTTAACCTTCCAAATAACTCTATGAAGGAGGCACTATTATACCCACCTTTTACAGATGAAGAAACTGCGAGTTTGAGAAGTTAAGTTGCCCAAGGTCACATAGTTGTGAGGGACAAAGCCCAGATTTAACCCAGGGCTGTCCGTCCCCAGAGGTCATGCTCTTCTTAACTGGTACAATATCCTGCCTCATTTTCTTGGTGCATAACCTATCTCTGGTCAGAAAAGCTGATTTCAAGAAGGCAAAACCCTTCAGTACCTGAAGCTCACTGATAGGTGTAGTCACAGCTGTTTTATAAAAAACTCCACAATTTAAAGCTGGACCTGGCAAACTTTCTAGTAAATAGAGTAAATATTTTCAGCATTGTGAGCCATATGGTCCCTGCTGCAACTACTAACCACTGGCCATAATTTGCCAATCTCTGAAAACTAAAGCATGAAATAAGGGAAGTTGGAATGACTAGCTTTGATTGATGCCTGGCTTTAAAATTTTCATTCTATTTTTTAATCAAACAGCTGCTCCATTTTCCTTACAGAAGAACCTATGGTGGTTGGGAAAAAATCCAGAAAGAAAATTTGTAAAAAGGTATTTGGTGAGAATTCTTATTCCCACCTATGTCTCCATTCATCCCATTTTCCCACTCCCTGATCCTTTATAGGTAACCACTCATAGAAGGTTTTTTTGTATCTTTCCGAAACACAAAAGGTGACTTCCAGATATCTATGAATACTCTTGAATATAAACATATAATCTTATTACCTCCATTTTTTAAACAGAAAAAAGCATATTTATACATGCATATGTGTTTATAATACACATACTAATCTATAATAATACTGTTCTTCCCCTTGCTTTTTCACTCATCAATATATTTTGGAGAACTTGCCATCTCAATACAGAATGTTCTTGGTTATACAGTATTCTATCGTATGGAAGGTACCATAGTTGTTGTTATTGTTTTTAACGAGTCCTTTATTGATGGACCACTGCGTTATTTCCAATCTTGGACTATTTTTGAAAAAGTAGCACAATGAATAAACTCGTATAAATGCCATGTCATACACACATACCTGTAGGATAAATTCCCAGACAGTCAAAGAGTAAATGTATTTATAATTTTGATAGATTTGGCCAAACTGCTCTCCATAGAGGTGGCGCCATTTTGCGAGGACAGCCTCTGGCTCACGCTTCACTCCAGCCTCTTGCCTCTAATTCGCTTTGGCGCAGGAGTCAGTTAAGTGAAGTCGCATTAATGCTCCCTTGAGGTAACCTGCCTTGAGAACACTTTGAAAGCAGAGCCTTGCCATCCTTTCTCAGAACATATGCTTTCAGGGCAACTTGATGGCTTGTCTTCTTAGATTTGCCTGTGTATCCAGAGCTATTCCAGGTGAGAGAAGAGTTTCTAAGGAGTGGTCATTCAGGGGCATATTTACATTAATGAACGCCCTTCCACGAGCAGAAAAAACATCAATTATTCCTCAATGAGCCTCCCTACGACTTCCCATGTTGAAATCATTGCATTTCAGAGGTGGGAGTATAGGAATCATCTAATCCAACCCTACCATCCTCCTCTCCCATTTTACAAATGAGAAAGTTGCCGTTAGAGAGGTCATGTGAGGGGCGCACGGCCATGTCATCATGTCCTTAGTGAGGTCAGGGTTAGGATGAGAACCACATCTCCTACCACCCAGCACGGCTCCTAGAAATTTAGTCCCATCAGCTTAGCCACTGCAGTGGATCTGTTACTGTCCCGATGCTCACCTGGCAGGTGCAACCACCCCCAGCTGCTGCTAAGGACACACAGCAGTCTGACCCCTTCTTTAAGCTGGGATGACTCGGTATAAGTCGTGTCCCAGAGGTCCCTTCGAGATCAGGCTGAAGCCAGGACCCAGCCGGGACCACATCCTTGCTCAGCTTCTACCCCTGCCCTATCCTGCGTCTCTCCCTAATAACACACTTGCAAAGAATCCCCATCTCAGGCTAGGCTTCTAGGGAAGCCCAAGCCCACAGCCCAAGTCTGACACAGGGACCTATTTGAAGCAACTAATACATTTGCCTAAGATGCAGTTACATAGTAAGAGGCTCAACAGCGTTTGCTGGGGAAGGGCTGTTTAATCAGACTCTGCTTACTGCTTGTCATATAGCTATTGAATACACCCAGGTAATGGCAGGACGAAACCAATGAGTCCTTTCCCTCAGTTTTTAATATTAGTGTTCGATTATCAGACTTACACCCACCTTACAGGCTAAACTATATCAGATCTGTCTTGTACCTGGCTATCATGTTTTGGGAGTTTGATCAGAGATAATCTGAATTCATAAAACAAGGCACCATGTTATAAAAGGGCCTATCTGACCTCTATTTGGCTTCTGGAGTTCTGATCTGTTTTTATCCATAGCTCTTATTCACAGTCTTCTGTTCTGTCTGCCCAAATGCTTCAAATGAGCCCCAGCTTTATTTCCAGGAATGCACTGATAGTGAACAGGTTTCTGGGGCATAGATGCAACCGTCATCAGCTCCGTGCCAGGAGTGCGGTGCCTGCACCCACTGACAGGACAGCCCAGGTGAACCGGACGTGTGATTGGAGGGTGTGATTCTCCAGTGAGGCTCAAAAACCCATGGTTCCCATGTGAATCTCTTGTAAATAAAATTAACCTGGCATCTTAAATACACACACACACACACAGACACACACACACACACACGACAACTAATGAAAGGCAAACACTTCTGGTTTTGGTGAAAAAGATGCCGTATAGCCCTTGGAGGTCCTAAATCTTGTCGCTTTCTTTTTAAATGCTAGGTGTGTTCTGCATGAAAGGCACAAATTTCAGAATGTCAATTATATAAGGAGCAAAATGTCACACAGGCTTATTCGAGAACTATCTGATAAGGCCTTTATACCCGGTTGCATTGTAGCAGCATCTTCAGGGAGGCACACTTTGAGAAAACACACACCATCAACTATCAAGCTCCACCCTGAACACCAATGGGCGCTTCTTTGCGTTACAGCCTTTTACGGTGTTCCCACTCCGACCAGTCAGCCCTTTGTCACCTGTAAGTCTCAAGTGTCGGGTTAGGCTTGGGGGGTACAATAAGACGTAGACGACTTTCCACAGTATTTCACTAGGTTTTGGAGTGCATGAAGCAGGATACCAAACCTCAACAAACCGACGAAGAGAGTTAGTACAAATGCAGGCAGAGGTTTTATGTAAGTGCCATCTGTGACTCACAAGTATGGAGCCAAGACACAGGCTGCCATGATGCAATTAATGCCGGTGAAGTTGGGAAGAGCTGCAGCGACACCAATCACACAAAAACACAAATTCAGGCCACTGTATCTTTTTGTGCTATATATATGATAATGAGTTGGTAATTGATGGAGAGAAATCTAGAATCCTATTGAAGGGACACAATCAGAACCTCGAGGTAGGACCAGTGGCTTGATACAGAAATTGTGGATTTAGAACAAGATTTGTTTTGGTCTCTTTCCCTCATTCTCCAGTCAACCCAGAGTCATAGGAGAGCAAAAACAGCCCACATTCAACTTTATTTCCCAGTGTGGGTGTGTAGGCAAGAAACTGGTTTTGCAAGGCTGGATTCTGGTATTACTGTCTGTAGGAAGAGCAGCTAATTGGTGTGTGGATGTGTTTTCCTCTATGATCAAAGCTCCTAGTATCACCACCTCAAGATATGGATGTCCCGCCACTCCCAATTCCTGGAACTATTGACTTTTTCGTGGGAGAGATCAAAATAGAACAACACAGCTTCACAGATGGGTTCATCAATCATAAGGAATTATGCTCTTCAACCTACTTTGATTGCAACATCCTGGTTACAGGAGCAATTTCATGTGGCATTGTCACAAGCAGATCAGGTCATAATATGAAGCTGACATTTAAATAGTGCTTTACAGCTCTGGAAGCGTTTCTGCAGACGTGATCTCACTGGATCCTTGCTGCAACCCTGTGGATGAGGACTGACGTAACTGAGGTTCTGTGGTGCCGCGGGATGGGGATGTGCCTGAGCTCCCAGTGCTGCCCAGAGCTGAGCTGAGGACTGACCTAAGCACTGTGATAGCAACCTATCCTTCCTGAACAGCATCCTCGTACTGCTATTGGAGGTGGGGTCACGTAGTCAGAGACGCCTGCTGCCCCTCCTTAAATAGTGTTGATTTTTAGAAATCTTTTGGGACCACAAAATTAAAGCTCTCCTGGGAAGGAGAAAGAAGTGGGCCATTTTTGGGGTATCTTCCTCGTTCAGAGTAACCTATTTGTATTAACCAGTGTGTGTGTTTCATGGCATAAAAATGTGTTTAGTTTCAAATGGGATTATGAGAAAGAAGCTTTACTTGAGAACAAAAGGTTACAACTAAGATTAATTTCTTGCCTTAAAATTCACAAACAAATGCTGCAAAGACTATTTTTTTTCCTCTGACAGCACAGACACCAACTTCAAAATCCAAAAAAAAGGGATTTCAAAGAGATTCCCTGGTTTCTGAGACAATGTGAGCAGCAGTCTTTTCTGATTTTTTTCTTACCTCAACTAGTACTAAGCAGATGACCCAAATTCTGGAAGAATTGTGAACTGTGAAATGCTAGCATGTGAGGATTTTCCTAGGTTTCTATTTAAATTGGTCTAATGACTCCATCTCTGGTTATAAGAAGCAACAGCAGGGCGGTGGGGATGAGGTTTGGGTACAAAATGTTTGGCAGTTCTCGGAAGGGGTCATCTTCATTGAGGAGCAGAATCTTTTTTTTTTTTGGTAAGGAAGATTAGCCCTGAGCTAACATCTGTTGCCAATCCTCCTCTTTTTGCTGAGGAAGATTGGCCCTGGGCTAACATCCGTGCCCATTTTCCTCTACTTTATATGTGGGACACTGCCACAGCATGGCTTGA